ATAGAGTAATAGCAAGCAGTAGTAAGAAGGGGAAGACATAACATTTCCATTCGGAATAGAAAGAACAGTACTTTACAGAAGTTAAAAGTAAAAATGTATACTTGCTATGCAATACTTCTGTCTCCATTGCTAAAAAGGTGTAGAGTTTATACAATAGCAAATTTTTCATTTTACCACTCTTCCAGAGCGTGTACTTTGTTTATGTACGCATTTGAATATCTCCTAAAAGTAGTCTGTCTGTATTGGTAAAATCTAAAGATGTCGGTGGCCATAATATTTCAGATAAAATTTCGGTAACAAAGAAGAAAAATATTACTCAATGAAGTGCCGGACTTAACCTCAACTAGACACAAAAAGAGATTTGATAAGAGTATCCTCCATGTCATCCTCAATGTCTGCTTTATAAAAAAATCTTCCGTTCACGCTTTCTGTTCAGTACTCGGCAATTTCATGAAATGTCTTTACCAGCTTCACAACTAAAGTCCCAACTAATGTTTCCTTTCCAAATGTAGTAGAAAGTTCTGCATGACAATAAAAATGTAAATTTATCTTAATAATATTTCACTAGAAAAATGCATCCTTTAATAATGAACCTCAAGCTCCATACAAGTGTTAATATAACGGTAAAGTCGCTGAACACTGGTAGTTCGGTCCGAGGTCGAATCCCGCGAACGGGCTGGCTGCATGGGCGTTTTCGTGGTTTTCCCCATGTGTAACGTGTATACGAGCCAGTTTCCCTTAGAAAGTCCTCCACGAAAGGCATCCCTCCTCTTAGGCAGATAGCCCTAGTGTGCTTTGCCATAATTAAATACACCACCCTTTAGGCAGATAGCCCTCGAGGCTTTGCCATAATCAAACACACACACACACACATAATATAACGGTAAAAGACACAGCACAAAATGCGATTGCGTTGAACACCTGCTGTTCACAAATGATTTATTAATCCAGGCGCCGCTTCTAAAGAAGTCATTGTTCCTTAAAAAATTTATGTCTTTACTTAGAATAAACAGATCATTATAAGAATCAGAGAAACACTTAAAAGAAAATATTCACAAAATTTTATACTTGTAAATACGCGGGCCACTTTTAAATAGAACACTCTGTAAATAACTATCGCCCATAAATAAATAATATGAAGAATTAACTTTAGAAATTTTAAGAAAAAGCGCAAAAGATCACTGAACATGAAGAACAGAGAGTGTTTATACATTTTTAGAATGATTTCAATAAAGAATTAGAAGGAAGGAAATCTTTTGAAATAAAATTTTTTGGCAACAGCTTATTATTTGAAATAAGAACTATCGTTTGTTATTTTAAAATGCATTCTTGTTTTCAAAATGTCCCATGTAAACAAAATGTGGATCGAAAGAAGTATTTTTGCGCTTTTTGAAGAGAAATAGCTCTATTCCATAATTCTGAAACGTTGTAAAATGCATGGTATTAAAATTTCTAAAGAAGCCTACAACATTATTAATTGGAAAGGGAAAAGCCGCCAATAAGTACTTCTACATGGAGCGAAGACACCAAGAGAATACTTGGAAAAGGTACGTGCTATTTCTAATGTTCCTAAAATTATATCATTGACAACAAGAGAAAATCCGTCGATGCAGAAATCAATTGCGAAGTCTTTAAATACATCTGTAGCAACAATAAATAAAATAATAAAGAAATATTTACAACTTAGAAAAGCTAAAAAGCAAAACGTTCACCAGCTTTTGCTGAGGCATGCGGCTCCATTGCACAATAATTTATAGAACCCTGTATGAAAATTATTTAGGAGGAGATAAATAGAAGTGCACTTGATGAAGCATGGATTTACCTGAATGATTACCAAAAAAATAATAATAATAAATAAAAGAAAGAAAGAAAAGTAAAGAATTACAAAGCTAGTGGTTTTATTGATGCAAAGAAAGTTTCAGTAAGAGGTTCATGGTTGTTACAGGATCCTGTTAAAATGTGAAATTAAAAACAAGAAGAGTGGGGGTGCGAGAAATGTTAAAATGAACTCAGCGTACTATCAAGAGAAAGTTTTACACTTCCTTATCCCAATGACTTTCAAAGAAATTACACTTCTTTATCCCAATGACTTTCAAAGAATGAAACTCCATCAAGACAAAACAATAAGTCACACTTCGAAAAGTACCACTGCATTCCTTGAAAATTAAAACCTAATACCGGTATTGCATATATACAGGGGTTGGACAAAAATATGGAAACACCTTTAAAAAACATGTTTCTTTGCTTAATATGGTAGGAAACCCGTTGGCATCCAAAACAGCTTGCAGTCTTCTCGGAATGGATAAATACAGTTCCTGTATGTTTGTCAAGGGAATATTATACCATTCTTCCACGGTGGCAAGTTCAGATAACGATGTTGGCGGTGGATAACGAGAACGCACTTTCCGTTCCAATGTAGACCATAAAGGTTCGATAATATTCAGGTCTGGTGACTGTGGTGGCCAGGGGAGATGGGACCTCGTGCTCAGAAAACCAGTCTTGGACAATGTGAGCTGTGCGAACAGGGGCTTTATCGTCTTGGAAGACACCATCACCATCGGGGAACAAAGTTTGTACCATGGGATGAACTCGATCGGCCAAAATGTTCACATAAGTCTTGGCAGTCATGTGCCCTGACACAGTTATCATGGGGCTAGCAGAGAACCACGATATGGCTGCCCAAACCATAACAGAGCTCCTGCCATGTTTCACTCTTGGAAACAAGCAGTCTGTATTATAGGCTTGAGATGGCGTTCTCCAGACATAAACTCGGCCAGAAGTGGGAAACAATGTGAAAGAAGACTCGTCAGACCATATTACTCGCTTCCACTGCTCTATAGTCCAGGCTTTATGACTTAAACATCCTTTTCTGTTACGGGCATTAGCATCACTGATGAGTGGCTTCTCAATTGCAGCACGGCCAGCAATTCCCTGTTTATGAAGCTCCCTTCTAATTGTTTTGGTACTCACAGGGTTCGGTAACACAACATTCATTTCAGCAGTAACTTTTGCAGCTGTGGTCTTCTTATTTTTCGTCACAATTGCCCTTAATGATCGTCTGTCACGATCACTCAGGACACACTTTCGTCCGCGCTGTGATTTAGCAGATGATGTTTTTCCGCTTTTCAAATATGCGGAATAAATCTTCGATACAGTACCTCTTGAAACACTAAACACCTCGGCTACCTTGCTTACGGAAGCACCTACCATACGTGCTCCAACAATTTGCCCACGTTCGAAGTCTGTTAACTCTGACATGATGCAATGACAACCTCGCATAACAGTACTCCGACAACAACTGAACTGTTTAGCACATTTACGAAGTTGTATTGGTGGCGTCAGTAGTCAAAAACGCCAGCGCCACCTACATATTTCATTAAAATCAATCTTTCTTTTCAAACATGCATTTCACAAGGTGTTTCCATATTTTTGTCCATCCACTGTACCTTTTCAACATATTCCTGCGAAGTCCAATGACGTTTCACCTATGGACTTAAGAGTCTTTGATCTCTTAACAAGAGCTTTTCTAAGGGAAAACTCACCACTATGGATGGATTCTGGAAAGTATTAGGGAAAAATCGCTAGCCACTGCTTTGCTTAGGCAGTGCAGTAGAAGCGTGTAAATGTTATATGCATTAATGCCACCTCAAAGCCCAGATCCGTAAAGTGGTGCCACATGTACAGTAAAGCCTGTAGTGATAAGAAATTCCCATCCAACTCTGCACACGTGGTTGTAAAACATCTTGTCCAAAACCAAGAGGTCAAAAAGAGTCAAAAGCGCACGAAATTGAAGATGTAGAACCATCAACCGTGATTAACAGCAATGTGCTCATTCACAGATGATGAGATCGGGAATTGGAATCCTCGTCGAGGAATAGATAATTTTTAAATGAACTGAAACATGTGCTATAAGGTATTAGCTTAGTATAGAATAATTAAGCGTCTAACACTTTATCATCTGTTGTTTTCGTTTCTTAACTCTTATTTATCTAAATGTAATACATCTGAAACGAGAAACATGAAATTTGCATTCCAAAGTAAATTTACTGTTACGATTATTAAAAACAGAAATAAATAAAGGCATTTATTATACTTTTCTTTTTTGCGATATTTGAGGCGTTATTTAAAGTTTTGAAACAATGCCTCAATATTTGTCATTGCTTTTATTATTTTTACTTATCATTATGTCGTAATTTTATTTTGTTGTCTATAATCATTGCATTGGGACATATTTGTTAAGAATAATAAGTGAACAGCTAAAACTATGCAGATAATCTGGCCGCTTAGTTCAACAGAACAACAGGGCACCTTAGAAGAAGAACATTTGTTAATGATTAGTATTGTTATACTACCTGTTTAACTATCTCGTTAACGATACGCATTGTTATACTATATAAAAGTCTGTTTCATATATTTTAGTATCGTTTAAAGAAAAATCTGGTTGACTTATCCGAAGACTATTAATCTGGGAGTTAGCAATATCTGTTAATAATCTGGAGTAGAATAGTAACTAGTTTCACAGAATGAGATTAGGATAAGCACTATAGTTAAAAAGCAAATTTCTTTCTGTAAATTCCTGAGTAATTATACTTATTTAAATTTGATTTGCATTACACTGCTTGGCGTAGTATAATTTAAGTTGCATTTATTCCATGAGTTTCTAAGCATATTTTGGATTTTAGTTTTTGAATTGATTATCTAGTTTAAGTTAATAACACACAAGACACGACCTACTCATTAATATTTTATGCAGAGGTGGGTCATAAATTAAAATCCTTGACTTGTGATACTTGATAAACTTTGAGATATTTGTATTTTATCTCTCAAATTTTCTTTGTCTTTAAACGGTATTTAACTTGCAATTCCGGAAACATTTGGGGAAGGAATTCTTTTAAAAACTTTCATTCTCCCTCAGCATCATTTTTCAACAGTAGGGAAAGTTATGCTGTATAATTATATATCATTTTGTGCTCGGTGTAATTTTAAATCTTCATTTTTAGTGCTAACTGTGCGTGACGCTGTTCCTATTGTGATGGGAGCCAATATTGGCACATCAGTAACAAATACGGTGGTCTCTTTGGGGCAGGCGTCGGATCGCAGAGAGTTCCGGAGGGCCTTCGCCGCAGCCACCATCCATGATATGTTCAACTGGCTCGCCGTCATCGTGCTGTTACCGCTGGAAGTGGCAACAGGTAAAATCCATTCATGAGAAATTTGCTTTAGTATTTTAATTAAATTACAAAAGGTTGTAAAAATAATTAATTATAAGAGTTTTGTTGTAATTTTTTATTGCATTTAACATCAGAAGAGGATTATTATTTTCATGTCCGCATTCTTGTTGGGACAAACGTTTAAAGCTTTAGCAGGAATCCCGGCTTGTTCTTTGTTGTTGCTAGCACGAAAAGAAATTTGTTTTCAATCATTTAAGAAGTTTTCAAACGAAATTGGTATTTTTTTAAATGTGTCTAAAAGCTCTGCTTTTTCAAAATAAAAACGTACAGAGTTATTCAGAATAATTGACCTGATTTCAAATGTGGAAATTTATGAAGATTAATTTGCGACTAATACAAAAAAACGAAATAAAAACTGCATTAAATTTCACACACAAGTGCTCTATGTGACTTTCTTTAGTTGCACAAGTAACATAAGAAGGTAATCAATTTCTTGTCATACTTAATTGCTGTACAAAATTGGCAGTAGCAATGGTTTTTTGAAATCATGTTGACTTATGGCTAACAATGGCACGAATAAAACATTTTAAATGTATTCTTTTCTAAAGGAAATTCAAAATTATACATATTCTAAAGGAAAATATCGTTTGGTGTTCAATGCTTGGCATTAAGGATAAGTACAATGAATTATATTGAGAATTTAATATCCTATAGCGACTTCAGAGGTCAGTTGTGATTCATTCATGGCCGATCCATAAACGAAACAGCATTACGTTATAACAAAACTTGGTATTCTATGTAAGCAGTTTGGAGATATTCTAAAAACCACTTGAAGCTTTACAATTTAATTTGATATCAAATTCGTACACGGTTTTATGCGCTAGAATTATGGTTATCATATCAAGGCAATTACTTAAAATAACCTTGTATTTTTTTTATCGCTATAGCATTTAACTTTAATTGACCGACGATTTTTTTTCCTGTTGTTGTCACATGAATATTACCCTCTTCCGGTTTAAAAGTGAGTTTCTTAGATTAACTTGTTTAACCTTCTGGTGTTTAAATTAAAATTTAAAAGGATCGAGTTATTCATTTTTTGGGAATTTTTAGATTCGATTTGGGCTGTCTTCTCCTAAATTTCTGAACCTTAAGACTTCGTTCAGAAAATCAGAAAAGACTGGGGGCGATTCTGAGTGATCTGCATTTTGACCGGTTTTTAAGTTCTAGGCAAATGAAGCTATTTATTGAGTAAATAAAAGAAGACAATTCAGTTTAATATGCTGCATTACAGAAGAAATATGATATGCTACAGAATTTACTGCATTACTTTCTACTACACAAGGAAAACTTGAGGTAAGAGTTAAAGAATACGTTTACCGCATGAGCTAGCGAGAAACTTGTGTGGCCTTCATTTCATGGCATTGAATTTTATGAAGTACCTTCTAAAAGGAAATTTCAATAATCTAAACAGAATTCGAGGCTGGAAAAATTAAATTTAATCTGAGGATGTTAGTCTCGATTTTAATTATACTTATTATGTATTGATACGAAACTATGTTGTCATTCCTTATTATAACATATCTGGGACTGAGATACTTAGTTACATATTTTTTAAATTTTAACTTGATACCTATGAGACTATATGAATATTTATCGGTCGGACCTAAAACCTCAGGTCTAAATGTGTAAATCTTCATCTAAATAAACTATAATTTTAAATCATGAAAGTATTTTTCCCTGAATACTGCAATAAAGTTTTAAAAACATTTCACATTCGTTGAAAGGTACTTTCAGTAAACTATAAAACAAATATGTAAGCTTTGAAATCTGTCATAAAAATGTAAAATAATAATTTCGTTAAACATTAAACTGATTACTTATTATGAATTATTTTAACTTTATTAGAGTAAACAGTTACGAATATTTAAGAAGCTAAATCCTTTCATTTAACTATTTGATAATTGAAATATACCTGAAGGGAAATGTACATTGGATCAGACAAGAAGTTTTTTACTATTTAACTAAGGGAGAATATAATATCTATATTATGTGATTCAAGGTTTTAGTTTAAAAAAAAAAACTAGGGTTCAATGCCTTTTCCTCTATGTGCAGCAAGCGAATTTATTCCACTTGAATAAAATGTTCTTATGGATTTAGAAACTCATGAAAATACAGTATTCCCCAGTTTTGTATTTTTTCAAAATAATTTCTTTTTTTAGAAAGCTGAACAAATAGTGAGGGAAATGGTATTCGAGAAGAAATGGTAATCGAAAGAGAAATAAGTAAACATATAAATCGCGAAATTTCTTATATGATTCCAGTAATGTGAAGTTAGAAATTATTATCAAGCGTCTTCTATTTATTAGTGCTGACTTATAATATTTCTCTCGCCTTCTTAGCATGTCTTCGTGGTGTGGTCGTCTGCACGCTGGGCGCGTATTCCAGAGGTTCGTGGTTCGATTCCCGGCGAAGGCGTTGCATATTTTTCAATCTCTCTTGCTTCTAAAAACTCCTAATGTCTATACAGACTTTTTAGTCACCTTTTTGTTGGCAGTTTCTAATTTATTGGTGTATGCAACTATAGCTGTGCCTAGTTTTATGAAATGTGTTGAATATGACCATCGCGAGTCTGACTTGAGAGAAACTCTTCTGAAACTTAATAAACTTCGGATGGATGTTGGCAAGGAAATTTCTCCCTTCTTACCTCTTGTCTTCGTGCTGCAACTGCAAAACACGTCTTGACTAGCAATCGGAAGATCTAGAGTTCGAATACCTCTACGAGGTCATTGTTGATTGTTCATGTTTCTTGCTTTTAAATAATACTGCACATTAAATTCTGGAAAGTATAAAACAACATATCTGTGCCTGATCATTGCGCTGCCGTTTTCCCTTGTTACCTATAATCTATTATTTACAATACTTTGCTTTCTATTTCAAAATCTGATATTTTCTTTCCGCAGGAACGGCGAAGTGCACATGTCCTAATTCTCAAATGTTTTCTGCTGGCTTAATTTTGGGGATTTATTTTTTTCAATTTTAGATTTCCTCTTTCACTGAAATGATTCAAAAATAGTATGGGAAAACTTCAAGCTATTTCGCTAAAGCCCTACAAATACTTGTCTTACTAGCTCCTAGGTCATTTTCTTCAAATGGTCATCATTATAGGGTCGAGAAAGCTGGGATAATTTAGAGGTTTATATATCTGAATTCGGACTTCACAAACTATTCTCGCAGCATTAATTTATTTACCTAATATAAAATAGGTGCGTATACATTTACTGAGCTCGAAACTCAGTTTAAACTTTTTCTCCCTCCATCCAGCATGCCTCCATTGTGTAACGGTAGCATACTCAACGCGTATTCGAGAGGTCCAGGTCCCAGTTCCGGCAAAGACATTGCACATCTTTGACATCTTCTGCTTCAAAATATTTTAATGACTCTACAAATGGCTCCCGAACTAAAAGGTGGGGGCCAATAATTCGTCACCACCGGAATTTGCGGATTGGGTCCCAGTCAATCTTTGAAAGGAGGGAATATATAAGGTGATAGGTGATAGGTGACGGAGGGCACGGGCACTGTCCCTTTACCATTAGGTTAATCGGTTTAGCACCGTGCCCACCCCCATCTAGAGCCATATTTATTGAATATCAAAATAACAAATACACGGCCAAACAAGGGCTGGAATGATTATATATGTGTTTACATACTGCCATGAAAGGATTACATTTTCATAAATAAAGAGAAATAAACGACTGTAACAGGCATGATAAGTTGTACATAACATAAAACAGTACTACAAACCATTTAAGTATTAAATAACTAAGTGAAAGAGCAAATGGTACTGGACTCGATTGTATAATTACATGATCTACACAAAGAAAATAATGCAGTATAATAGTAGATTTACATAACAGTGCCTTACAAAATTATTACAGTATGATGCGAGACTTTTATAATTGCACAAGGAAAATTATCTTTATGTGACTGAAAAGACAATATGTTGCCAATTTGAGAAAATCATAAAGACATAAATAGTTGCAGTATTTCTAAATTACACAACCCTATTGAAGAATGATGAATACTACAGAGCATTATGCTATGTTGATAATACCGTACTATACCAGAATATATTACAATACAATATATAAAATACAAAAGAATGCCATGCAGATTTTACAATACATGCCATTCTATGTTTGCATGCTATACAATAGTAATTAAATATATAATTTGCACAAGATTATGATACTATACTATAGAATAAAATATACTATACAATACACAAAATTATACTATACACAAGATATACTATACATAAGATTATGATACTATACTATACAAAAATTCTAGGCTATTAAATTGTGCGGTACTTAATTACATGATACTAACACAATTTCTAAACAAAGAGTACAGCACGATATGAAAATAGATTTATATAATAATGCCATACCAAATCGTTACAGTATAGTGCAATGCGTTTATATAATTGCACTAGGATAGTTATCTATATGTAAATAAGATACAATATGTTGTCATTAAAATAGATTACATTCAAACAGAGAAGAAAATAAATAGGTGCAATTGCAGTATTTCTAAATTACATGACCTTGTTAAGAGAAGATGAGTATTATATGATATTATGCTATGTGTACAATTCAGTATTATATCAGAATACATTACAATACTTTATATGATTGTCAATAAGAAAGATTACCATCATACGGTAGAAATATAAGTAAATGCAATTGAAACATTTCTAAAGTACTGAACCTAATTGTTAAAATGATGCCTTACAAATTTTACAAAATAGGCCATACATTATTTGCATACAATACAAAAAGATTTAATATATAAGATTTGCATGAGATTATAGTACCACATAATAGATCTAGGGTATTAGATTATACTATTCTGGACTAATTGATTTCAATACATTTTCAATACAGATAATATTATGCAGTATGGAAATAGATTTACATAATAGTACCATACAAAATCATTATAGTATGATGTTTTACTTT